TTTATTAGAGACAGGGTTTCACTGTGTTAGTCAGGATGGTCTCAATCTCCTGACTTCGTGATCTGCCTGCCTCAGCCTCCCAAAGTCCTGGGATTACAGGCGTGAGCCACCGTGCCTGGCCTTGTGTTTTCAATTTCTATCATTGCCTTTCGGTTTTCCCCTAGAGTTTCCATTTCTCTGCTTACATCACCCATCTTTCCCTGCATGTTGTCCCCTTTTTCCATTATACTCCTTAGTGTTATTATTAAATTTTAAGTTCCTGGTCTGATAATTCTCAAATATGGGCTATATCTGAATCTGGCTTTGATGCTTGATTTGTCTCTTCAGAGTGTGCTTTTTTGCCTTACAATATATGTTGCAGTTTTTTTTTTTTTTTTGAAAGCCAGACATGATGTATCAGTTAAAAGAAACTGATAAATTGTCTTTTAATGTGATATTTTCTGTTTATCTATCTAGAAGTTAGGCTGTGTTTATAGTTTACTCTAATGGTAGGTGTCAGAGACTACATTGTCATGTAGTGCTCTTGCTTTTGTCTGCCCTATTGACTTTAGTCTCTAGAGACTCCTTCTTAGATACAGTCTTAAATGCCATTCTTTGAGTCGTAGTTTCCTGTTATTATACAGTAGCACTGTTGATGTGGTCCTATGGTATGGAGGGGGGATTTCTATAATTTTATAATTAGGTTTCAGTTATTAGTGAGCCTGTGTCTCTAGGCTGTGACCTTCACAAATGTTTCTCAGCTTTTTTGTATGCTTTGGGAGAGACAGAATGGCTAATGGAGGCTTGAGTTGGGTATTTCCCTTCCTTTATGTGGAAGTATAGAGGAGGTTGGAGTTGGGTATTGCTTTTTTCCTACATAGAATATTAGAGGTGGTTTGGTTGGGTAATTCCCTTCCCCCATGACAGTTAGGCTCTGGTAAAGCACAAGTTGGTTGGGTTGTGCTAAAATAGTTTTCCTTGAGGACAGGCATTTTTAAAGAACAGAATGCTCTGGGTATATTTCAGAATGGTTGCTTCTTCTCTCACCCTGCCAGAAGCACAAGGAAATTTTTCTCATCTTCATCCCGAGAATCTGGATGGGCCCCTGAAAGTAAGACTCAGAAAAGTGTGGGAGGTCCTCCTGAACATGCTCCCCCCACCCTGGGAGTTTTATCTCTTAAATGATTCTACTGTTAGTCCCCAGTTACCCTTGTATTTTTCCAGGTGCTGGCTCCAGCAGTGGTTTTTGCCCCCAGTGAGCTATGACTGTTTGTATTCGCCTACCTGTCTAGTTTTTGGGGTCGTGGTTTGCCCTGTGACCTCAATTCTCTGGTGAATGTAAGAAGAGTTGTTGATTTTCACTGCTTGTGCTATTTCCTTGTACTGAATCTTCTCTTTAGGCGTATACATCATGATTTTGCCTAATCTTTTTAATTAAAAAAACTCGGATGAAAATATTCTACTTTGCCCATATATTTATACCTCAATCTCTCTATTGTATTGAAGACATTAAAAACAAGTATTTACTACATTGAACAGGCCATTGATTAAGTTAAACCGTAACCTTAAGAGACATGTCTTAAATAAAATATACAATAGCTGCTATGAATAGTAGCAGGAATTTTAACATTGAAAACTTTTTTCTCCAGTGAAATTTTATATAGAATTTATTTACTGAATTGCTTCCTTTAGTACTCACTCATGTACTTTGTTCTGGCAATTATTTTTTATTCATTAATTCATTTATTGAGTATCTACTATGTGCCAGGAGCCATTCTAGACATTCTAGACATTGATGAAGAAAACAATGAAAGACTATTGCCTCTGGGAAGGCATATGTTTCAGTTTAGGGAAACAAACAATGGAAAATGATCATAATATAAATAAGCAAGTAATATGGAATGATAGAAGGTGAAGGGTGACATGAAATAGAGAAACAGAAAAGGGCAAATGGAAGAGAAGCTTGCAATTTTAAATGGAGCATTTAGAGTAGATCTCACTGCCAAGATGATATTTAAGCAGACTTGAAGAAGAAGAGAAGTTGGCTGTGAACATATCTGGCTGAAGAATGTAACAGGCAGAGGAAAGAGGCTGTGCAAAGATCTGACTGACAATGAGGAGGTCTGGGAGGCAGTGGGGAGTTAGAGTGACACAAAGGAGTAGCAGATGAGACCCAGGTGGTGCCAGGGGTCAGGTAAAGACTTTGGTTTTTATATTGAGTGAAAGGAGTGACACCGTAGGCTTATAAACAGAAGACAGACATAATTTATTTAGCATCTAAAAATAATGTTTGGCTTCCCTATTGAGATTTGACTGCAAGGATACTGGTTAGAAAGCCATTGCAACAAGCCAGGCAAGAGATAATGTGGCTTAGATCAGGATAGTCCTGACGTAAGATATGTCAGGTGTTAAAAAAGAGAAAAGCTAAGGATGTCTCTGAGATTTATGGACTGAACTGAAAGAAAAGAGTTTCCAATAGCTGAGTTTGGGAAGACAGCCTGTAGCTTAGGTTTTGGGGGAGATTAGATTTCAGTTTAAGCATGTTAATTTTGAGACATCTATTAGATGTCCAAGTGGAGATCTGAAGTAGACATACAGCATTCAGGAAGATGTTTTGGCTAGAGCTATACTTTGGGTAGTCATCAGCATAAAGATGATATTTAAAGACATGAGACCATTTAAGATCAGAGTAGGCGTTAGTGTAGATAGAGGGAAAAAGAGAACCAAGACACCCTGAAAGGTGTGTGTGAGGGGTGGGTGGTGTATAGGGAGAAAAAACCAGCAAAACTGAGAAGAATCACAAGTGAGATAAGAGGAAAATAAGTGAGAAAAATGTATCAAAGAGGAGGGAGTCTAATCTACTTTGTCAAATGCTGCTGAGAGCTTAAGTAAAATAAGATAGGCTAATATTATTTCAGTGGATTTAGGCACAAAAGTACTGAAGATAGGCCAGTAATTGAATACAAAAAAAATTAAGAGTTTAGATAACATGGCCCGTAGACTTTCTCCAGCAGCAATGCCGTCCTCCAATGCATTAAAGCTATTCTTAGCCCACAGCACCCACCATGTACAAAGAAAGACTGGGATCTAGCCTGCATTGAAACTGATGTTCTGAGTTCCCAGGAAGTCCTTGATGGCATTTATTCTACTAATCTCTAGCTGTTCCCTAGACTTGAGGAATAGCATGAGCCTATCTAGAGCTAGCTCCAGGATTCTTAAACCTAGCTCATTTTGAGTCAAACAACCAGAATTTTAGTTTCTAAACTTACCTTGAGGTTCAGAGAAGCCAGTAGGTATAATGTCAAAAGTTAGTGTGTGCTAAACTTTATAAAATAACTTATTAATGTAAGAAGTGCTCTTTAAACCCTCTTTTTTTCCTAAAAATTAAAAATCTTTACAATTTTGCAGACCTTCAGCCTATAGGCAACCACTGATTTTTTGTTTTTTTACAAGAAGATAATACTTTTTCATTGCTGCATCTTCAGAAATTCTATGATTACACAGGGTATATAAATAATATTACATAAATCACACAGGTTTTTTGATGCAGTTAATAATATAAAAAGTAATATATATGTAATGTTTTATAAGAGGATATTCTGTCTTCCAAATCTTCCAAATTGTTCATTTTCAAAAGCATGGAAGGAAGAAAAAAATGACGGAAGGGTGGCTGGAGATATTGAAAATCAATGCCATATCATGAAAATGCTGTAAAATTTATGTTAGTAAGTTATCAAGAAAATATAGACTATTATAATACCCTGTTAATATTAACACATAACTTTATTTTTTTTTTATTTTTATGTTTTGAGACAGGGTCTCACTCTGTCACCCAAGCTGAAATGCAGTGGGTATGATCATGACTCACTGCAACCTTTGCTTCTCAGGTTCAAGTGATCTTCCCACCTCAATCTCCTGAGTAGCTGGGACATGCCACCAGGTTCAGCTAATTTTTTTCTAATTTTTGTACAGAGACAAAGTCTCACTATATTGCCCAGGCTAGCCTTGAACTCCTGGGCTGAAGCAGTCCTCCCACCTCGGCCTCCCAAAATGCTGGGATTATAGGAATGAGATACAGTTCCTGGCCAATAGGTAAGTTTATTCAGGACCATTTATAATGATACTATGTTGGGTAGTATATGAGGAACAGGTAAATAAATGCAGGACAATATTTTAAGCATCTCTGCAGTCTCAAAGGAAGACTCATGAGACAGTGGATGGTTGGAAAAAATACAGATATCCATTAACCCCAGTGACACATGAGACAATTAATACATTGCTGAGCACCCACCAGCATACCTAGGGCTCCTGAATGGCTCCTCTGATTGTGACCCACTCTGCACCACTCCTTTGGTAGGTAGGTATAATATAACACCAGTGGAGAAAGAAATAATTTTGACATTGGAAAAATACTGCATCTTGGTGTTTATTTGCACATATTAATCTCAAGTAGCTTGTATCTCATGATTTTGCAATATTGTTTCATCTCACAGGATAAGATTTGGTATAAAGAATGTATGTTTTGGCTCAAAACTTTCTTCTATGATCATTTGATGTATAAAGTCTGGCCCTCAAGAATGTGACTTAAAATGGCCTAATAATTTATAAACCTTCGTATAAAATTTATGAACACATTTACATACATATTCACACACATAGCTATATTCATGTATGTTATGAATGATAAAAGTATAAACACAGGAATATTTAACATGAGAATCAGGAGAGTGATTGTACGTCAGTAGAAGTGAGGATGTGATTTTGAGGAGGTTCCCTAGAGCTCCAAGGTACTGGCTAATGTCCACTTCTTCAACTGAGTATGGGCTTATGAGTGTTGGTTTTATATTCAATCTCTTTCATCTTAAAAGTTGAGAAAAGGAAAATCACACATAAGAAATGATATATGATGATCATCTGAGTTCTTTATTTTGTAAAATAAGTTTATTTATGGCATCAGGAGAGTATCTTGCAGCAAACATTTTGAAGTACAAAATACCATAGTGATTTTTTTTTCTTTTCAGTTCGAAAGGATATAGTCCGCATCCTCCCCAGTCTAGATGTCGAAGTCAAAGACATCACTGATTCTTATGATGCTAACTGGTTTCTTCAGCTGTTATCAACAGAAGATCTTTTTGAAATGACCAGTAAAGAGTTCCCCATAGTAACTGAAGTCATAGAAGCACCTCAAGGAAATCACCTGCCCCAAAGCATTTTACAGCCTGGGAAAACAATTGTGATCCACAAAAAGTACCAGGCATCAAGAATCTTAGCTTCAGAAATTAGAAGCAATTTTCCTAAAAGACACTTCTTGATCCCCACTAGCTATAAAGGCAAGTTCAAGCGGCGACCGAGGGAGTTCCCAACAGCCTATGACCTAGAGATCGCTAAGAGTGAAAAGGAGCCTCTTCACGTGGTGGCCACCAAAGCCTTTCATTCCCCTCATAACAAGCTGTCATCTGTATCTGTTGGGGACCAGTTTCTGGTGCATCACTCAGAGACAACTGAAGTCCTCTGTGAGGGAATAAAAAAAGTAGTGAATGTTCTGGCCTGTGAAAAAATCCTCAAAAAGTCCTATGAGGCAGCACTGCTCCCTTTGTACATGGAAGGAGGTTTTGTAGAGGTGATTCATGATAAGAAACAGTACCCGATTTCTGAGCTCTGTAAACAGTTCCGCTTGCCCTTCAATGTGAAGGTGTCTGTCAGGGATCTTTCCTTTGAAGAGGATGTGTTGGCTGCCACACCAGGACTGCAGTTGGAGGAAGACATCACAGACTCTTACCTACTCATAAGTGACTTTGCCAACCCTACGGAGTGCTGGGAAATTCCTGTGGGTCGCTTGAATATGACTGTTCAGTTAGTTAGTAATTTCTCTAGGGATGCAGGACCATTTCTAGTCAGGACTCTGGTAGAAGAGATCACTGAAGAGCAGTATTACATGATGCGGAGATATGAAAGCTCAGCCTCACATCCCCCACCTCGCCCTCCCAAACACCCCTCAGTAGAGGAAACAAAGTTAACCCTGCTAACCTTAGCAGAAGAAAGGAAGGTGGACCTGCCCAAGTCTCCCAAGGTAAGGCTATGGTTTTGCAATCTTTCCTCTGGACTGTGTTCCTTGAGGCAGTTTGTTTCAAGTCTTTTCTGAGTGTGTTTTGCTTACTTTTCTTTCTTTCATGCCATATTTGCAATGAGCTTTTCTGATGTGCAGTAGATGAATTAACATCAACAGTACGTAAGCTGTTGCAGCGTTTTATATTTTGATGTGGCATGAAGTTTAATACTGAAGTGGAAATAACAGAGATGACATTTGAAAATAATGACCCAAATTGCCTTTTCAATGGGTTTGGGTAATTAAGAATATTTTATAAACTGCCTTGGAAGCAAACCCCTTTTATTTTAGAAGTTCTGTTAATTTTTTTCTAAGTAAAATTTAATACCTCATCCAGGATATTAACATAGAGTAAACTCCCTTCTTATGGGGATAGGGGATTACTGGTAGCATGCATCTATAGCACATGTCTTCATTTTGTTTTATGTGCAGAAAGATGTAAAAATATCTTGGCAGAACAGTGAGTGAGATTGTGAGCATCTGTCCACATTCTGCTTATCTTAGAATCGTAATCTTTAACAGTTCTATTGAAAAACAAAATCAATAAAATTGCAGACACTATGAAATCATTACAGAATCAACAACTCCATAACCACTCTAAAGATTTTGGAGGGTGATTCAGCTTCATTTCCACTTGAAGTCTTTGCCTCTTGAAAACTGCCTTCTGGCTGCCTGCAAAGCGCTTGCCCTTATACCATGATGTGTAGGTCGTTTATCCAGCCGTGGTTCTTTGGTGTGTGGAAGGAGTGCATTCTGGTCTGGCAGATGTTGTACTTGCAGCTTAGGGAAACAAAGCAATTAGTAAAACAAAGAGATGCTGTGTTCACTCTCTATGCTTAGAAATAATAGCAGCCTTAGGCTTCAAGTATATGGATATGGAAATACTTTTATTTCTACATCTCAGAGATTGCATTCTGATGATAGCTGGGGAAATCCAGTAAGGATCTTCAAAAACGTCTTTAGAAAAAGATAAAACCAGCAGAAATTTTCTTCCCAGAAAAACAGCTTTGAAAGAGTCATTTGATATAATACAATGGTTTCCAAATAATGTTGATTAACGTGTTGCTATTATTTTGAAAGGTATCTTTGGCTTCTCCCATTTAACGCATTTTTATTACTGAACTGAATAATGAGAAATGAAATGAGAAATGAAATGTCATCTTTGTTTTTTAGTGGTAGGCAGAATAATTCCCCCCTCACTCAAATATTTATATACCTAAATTCCCAGAACCTATGAATATGTTACTTTGCATGGCAAAAGAGACTTTGCACATGTGCTTAAAATTAAGGACATCGAGATGAGGAGATTATTCTGAATTATCCAGGTGGGTCCAATTTAATCACGAGAGTCCTTACAACAACCTTTCCAAATAAGATCAGGGTTAGAGGGACATGTAACTACATAAGAATGGTCAGAGATCCAATATTACTGAATTTGAAGATGGAGGAAGGGAATCATGAAGTAAGAAACAGAGATGGCCTCTAGAAGCCAGAGAAGACAAGGAATCAGATTCTTTCCCAGGGTGTCCAGGAAGGAGTGCAGTTGACAATACTGGTTTTAGCTAGTGGGACCCACATCAGCTACTAACCTATAGGACTGTAAAATAATAAATTTGTATTATTTAAGCCACTAAGTTGATGATAATTTATTATAGTAACAATAGAAAGATAATATAAGATATCAAGTTGAGAAAGAGGAATACTTAAAAACCATAGACAGTAAAATGTATATGCAAGTCACTACTTGTTTTGCTGGAAAAGTGTTTTTGTTTTTTTGTTGTTGTTGTGTTTTTTTTTTTTAATGAATTTATTAGCTCATGTACCCATGGACAACCTAAGGGTATAGCTAAGCTTCAGGAATAATTGGAACCAGGATCTTGAAAACGGCCTAAGTTGTTTTTACTTTTCGTTACATATTGGCTTTCTTTTCCCAGGCTAACTGTCTCAGGTTTTTTTTCCAGCCTACTGCTAAGAGTTCCTGCATCTCACATCTCATTGTTTCATCTCTAGAGAAGAAGATAATCTCTTTGGCTCAAAATTTAAAACCGAAAGGGCCTTGGTTGGATTAATGCCATCTCCTGACTCAACCAATTTATTACTTACTCCAACTAGAGGCATGATTGGAGGGTATCTGTTTGTGCTATTATAACATAATACCACAGACTCGGTAATTCATAAACAAGAGACATTTATTATTTTAGAGTTCTGGAGGATGGAAAGTCAAGATCAAAATGCCAGTAGGCTCTGTCTCTGGTTCCAAGATGGCCTCTTATTGTTCCATTCACTGGAGAGAAGGAATGTTGTGTTGTCACATAGCAAAAGTGGGGGAACCCTTTCCACAAGCACTTTTCTTAGCAGCATTAATCCATTAATGAGGGCTCTGCCCACATAATAAAAACACATCTCATTAGGACACACCTTCCAACAATGTTGTGTTGGTGATTAAGTTTCCAGCATGTGAATTTTGGAGGGAATAAAACAATTTAAACCATAGCAGTTGGGAGGAGAATGAGGTGTGATTGCCTCTAGTATCTAGCAATATAGAATTGCAGGATTTGAAGACATGGAGATACAAATAATAGATGTCCACTACCATCAGAAAGAAAGGATTAAGAAAAAATACCAAATCACAAAAAAGCACTCATAAGAAAAATAAAAGGTTAAAATTTTTAAAAATTGTTCTTTGCCAGACATTAGATGAAAATGATCTAAGTGTTTTATTAAGAGAGAAACTCACAAAACAACATTACGCCTAGACTACTAAACTGAAGTGAATGCAATCTTTGACTAAACCCGTACATGTAGGATTCCAGATACTTAATAATTCCTATTTTTTACTGGTCAGACCCCACATGGATTCTTGGTGTTCAATCTGAGTCCCACTCTAGAGACTATTAACCGGAGTTTGTAAAGAGCCGTTAAAGATGTTAAGATGTTCTGGAGCCATTTTCATTTGAGGAATAGTTGAAGACATTGAGTGATAATCTAAAATTGGAAGACTTGATACTAGATGATATTAGTTATTTTATACATTTAAATAGTTGCTTTGTGGTAGAGTGTAGACTTATATTCCATTACAACATCTTCAACACTGAGTGAAAGTTAAAGGAAGGACAAATTTGGTGTAATATGTTGGAACACGTTTTTCTTCTCCCAAAAATGTTTATAGCAGAAGATAGAAAATCATATCAGTGATGTTGTCAGGGAATCCCTGCTCTGGTTGAGATTTTATCAGACAGTTGAGAAGAGTCTACAATTATTTGTTTATGAATAGTTCCTTTAATTCTAATGTGATAGATAAAACATATTTTCTCTGAAATCACTTTAAAATGTCAGAGGATGCTATAATCTACCTGTATTTAGACCTACTGACCTCTTTATTTTCAGCAATTATTTTTCACCATGAAGGCAGGAATCTGTTTAGTACATTGTTTATAGAATGTACACAGAAACTCTCTTAGTTTCTCCATAATCTACTCCAAAATAGTAATATTAGTACTATTTCTTATTCTCACAAAGTCATCCTTTCATATATTCCTTTCATGTTTCTTCTGATATTTACATTAAGCCTGTTCTATCATGTGTGTTTTTGAGGAACATTTTTTATATTTCATAGGTAGAAAGCAGCCATTGAAAACCAGCCTCTAAGACTATGGATTATATATGAAATATTGCTTTAAATTTGGATAACAAATAGTAAGGGTTATTCAGAGTTTAAATATTCAAACTCATTTAGCTCATTAAAATGCTGTTTTACATGCACAGAGAAGACTCCTAGATGCTTCATTATATGAATTTACTTTTGCCTTCCCAATGGATCATTAACTTTCCTAAATCATTTCTTGCATTGTTAAGTAACAGACAGATGTATGGGCAGTCTAAGAGAAAGAATCTAAAATTCACTCTGCATTAGCCAAATTAACCTACAGGAGGTATCTGTTGTTGGTTATGAACACTACAAGCTCATCTAAAATGTTTTAAAATTAAGAATATATGAGGACAGGTTACAGGAACTAGGAGAAATAGAATTATTTTCCAAAGTAAGATTGGCAACAGTTCTCCAGCTTTAGCAATACCTAAAAAGAAAAAAAAATAGATTGGTGTAGAAACTTTATAATTATAATTCAGTTTGGGCAGGGACAAGGGATGGTTACAAACAGGATTACAGCCTATTTCAAGACCTATGAGGTTTTACGTGAAATAATATTATAGTTGTTCTTTAAATGTGCTAGTTAACTGTTTGTAAGAATAATGTATGGGATCTAAACAAAGGAGTGGGAATAGGCCAGGGGAATCCTCAAAATTTCCTTTAGGTTTTTAACATAATGTGGAAATAATGTCGTTAGGATCTGTGCATCTGAATTTTTAATCTGATGGAAACAGCATTATAAAATGACTAAATAAATGAAGCTGGACCTGAAATTGTGTTCTAAATAGAAATGTTGTCAGGTAGATTCTCCTTCCTTGAAGGTTGGTTTCTATGTTAGAAGTGGTTTCAGATAGTTTAGAAGAACATATACTCACTGGGGTTTTGCCTGTCATGGATATATATAGCTATGACTTCTGAGTGCCACATAGGAGAAATGTAACTTCTGTATTCTGATGAAAGGGCCTATAACCAGACAGAAAAACAAACCTTTGGTTGAAAGATGAGATATTCCATGTCTTCAGAGACTGCAGCTGGGACCAGAAATCTTGTATTTCACTAACTCTGTTTGGCCATTTAATGCCCAAGTGTCTGCTTTGCTGCCTGAATTTCTAGATTTCTGTCGGACAAGGACACCCATAGGAGACATTAAGGCAAAGAGCAAGGGAGGCAGTAATGGCAAGGTACTGTGAAATGAGCAGAAAAATATCCTGCACTAGAATTAGAGTGAGGGCTGAAAAAGGCAGAAGGAAAGCAATGGTTCCTGGGGAGTGCAGAGAGAACGTTTCAGCAGCTGCTGCTGGTGCTAAATTGTCAC